AGAGAGAGAGAGAGAGAGAGAGAGAGAGAGAGAGAGAGAGAGAGAGATTCTTTGTTATGCTTATTACATCTTTTCTAGTTTTGTGATTTATTATTTTGGAAATGTGGGTACCCTGATTTTGCCATGCTATGGGTAGAAACTAGAACTTTTCAAATTTCTATAATCGCCATTCTGGGTAGAAATTCTAGTAGCTCCAGCACATCAAAACAACATCAGCTTGGGATTCTGTCCTAGTGTGATACACTAGGATACAATGGAGTAAGATGTGCACTTCTGTACTACAGTTGAATATTTCTTTGCAGAGATTATATTTACCTTCCCAAATACCATCAATATCCACTATTTGTGAAAGAGGATTTTTCTTACATCCTGGCATCAATATTCCTCCATTTGGATAAAAATCAAGATGTCCAATTGCTTGACTCATCCCAAACCCTGAAAATTGATAAAAAATAGAGTTATGTTTGAGTAGATTCATGCTTGCCTCTTGCATGTTATGTACTGCAGTATTCTGTAGTCAGCTTACCTAGAAATGGAATTGTTGGTGCTGAATCAGTATGAATCACGTCAACAAACTCAGCATCATTTTTGTCCAATCTGATCTCAGGTGGAGTTCCTTGAAAGTAAGGTTGAGCAGGGTCTAGTCCTGTAACGGTATAAATGCTAAATACATGATTTAAAGAGGAGATGATGAAGATTTCTGGACTCAGCCTACAGTTATCAAAGAATGCACCTAGTAGTAGTATTTGAAATCAGTTCAGAATTTCATAAACTTTTGTAGCTAGAAAGTCTTATAGGGCCTATTGGCCATTAAGAGAAACACTAAGGATTTTTTCCATTTCATTTTAATATAATCAATACATTTGTTTTCCCAAATGGAAGTAAAAAATGCTGTGTGAGAAAAATGAATAATGAAAATTCATTTCCACAAGAGCAAAAAAAAAAACAGTAATTAGCACAACTTATTTAAAACTTTTTCTAACTTTTTTAATGCGGTTGTTGGCTAAAAGGTGGAGGGGGGAGAGATAGTATGGAAAATTATACTATATAATGCTGCATCAAAAATCTGTAAGTTAGAAAATCTCAATATAAAAATAAATCCCATTTGCAATAAACGTGCCAATAAATACAAATTGGAAAGAATCAGAATAGTCTATATGCATGACACTATATGTGAAATAGTCATGGATCAAAAATAGACTTATTTATTTCCCCCAATCTAAGATTCTGTCTTTAAAAAGATAAATATGCCAAGGAAGACAAAAGGGCCAGTTAGAAGACCATATCGATTAATTTCTCAGCAAATAATGCCAGGAATTTTAAGATAAGTTTGTCTAAAAGGGAGTTTCCAGAGCAAGTATATATATAAAAAAGCAACAAGATATGCAAATTCTGCACATTGATAGAAATATTTTGAAGAGATATAGAAATACAGAATCCCAATTGAGAAATTCAGTTACAGGGACTGGGAGCAATGAATTACAGTATAAATTATGGTAAAATGCTTTGGTTAGAACTTTGCTTTAAAAGGCCATGTGACTTTCAGTTTGATGATGCCTTATTGTTTGAGAATCAAGGTAATAATCAAGCACCAAGTAAGACAATGGAAACACTCTGTATAAAAATAGTTTCCATTTGGCCTCTCAGATCATTTCTTTCATCTAGGATACTCATTTTAATTGTATTTAAACCTTTTGCCTTTGTATCCTGTATAATAGAAAATCTCTTTCATTAATTAGCAGTACAACTTATCATACAAGACTGGGTAATCCTCATAAGCTTATAGATGCTATTCTACAGAAAACATGGAAAGATAAAAAAAGATATATAACTATGCATATTATTAAATGTAGCCTCATTCTCACATTCACTTTTTCAATTCAGTAAAATTATCTACAGTCATTTCTCAGAGTTTGCGCCAGCTTAGATTCAGATTCAGCAATAGTTGCCTTCATACTAATAGGAACTACATTGGTCAACTTACCAGTGATTCTTCCAATTCCTTTTATTCTGCTTCCCAGCTCAGCAGCTGCATGTGCCCCAAGGCTATGGCCAATGAAATGTACCATGGAGGGAGAGTATCCATATTTCTCCTAATGATAAGACCAGTTGTAAAGGAACATCATATATTTTGTTAGCTCTGTAAGTGCATTTCTGTGATTTGCAATTCCAGTCATGAAATCATAGATGGCAGTAGTTTCTAAAACCTCAGTTGATTGCGAATTAGCTCTAAGTTAAAGTACAATTCTGCAGGTGCTGAATTTAGCATAGAATCAGTTGAAAGATACATTAGCACAGACACCCAGCACAGAAGCAAATATGTACAAATATGGTAGGATCATGGGGACAAAGAATTCTAGTTTCACATCTCTGGGTTTCCTATCACTGCGCTTTTATACCATTTTAGATTTAAAATTCATAGTTTGTTTAAGAACGGAAATTTAAGACGGGATTCCTAGAAAGCTATTAGGACACGCTAGGATCAAACTGATAAAAGAATTATTGGATTTTGTAACTGTTTGTTTTGAGTGTGACCAAAATGCAAACCGTTTACCAAATCTCTGCCAAATGATCATACAGGCAGTTGCATTTTAGTTTGAGTCCAAAGTCACAAAACAAGAACATAATTAATTAATTAATTTTATAAGTTGCCCAACTCTATTAAAAGTCTAGAGTTACCAGCTTAATTCTCCTCATTGTTATCTGTATGTAGCATATGAAATCCCCTTACAAATGGGAATCTGCATAAAGACAGATTTCAAATAGGTCACAGTATTCCATCTCTCATTTGCTCTTATTGCAATGTAACTAATATGGATTTTTTGATAGACCAAGCAAGACGTAGAGGAGTCCGAGATAACTACCAAAATATTGCCACTCCCACATATAATACAAATTAGTTTGAGCTTGATGGCCAAACCTTCCCAATAAACAACCTAGTCGGAAGATCATTTAAAAGCACTTTATTAGGGTACCCTGATAAGGTGGCATCTCCCAATGAAAAGGAGAACCTAAAACCCATCTTAAATTTCTTTTTATAGTTAACACAACAAAGAAGAATGAAAGAGAAAACTTGTTAAACTTGTCTCCTTGCACTGGAAATCAACTACGAAACTTGTTTGAAGTTAGATAACCAGATGCCAGTAGACACTAAGAAGAGATAGTATCACTTATCAAGAGATAGTATCCAGCCATCCTTCTATAACTTATCTGTTCAGTTTAGGAATATTAGAAGGTATCTAATCAATCCATACACCTATAGGATAAAAGGTTTCCTATATTCCAATTGCAATGAACTTTCTCACTGGCCTATAATTAAGTTAATGAGTGTTTGAACTCTTCTTGTTTCTCCCTGTCTCATGTTTCCCCAATTTCAAGTTGTAGTTTAGACCAGTGTTTCTCAACCTTAAGAACTTTAAGATGCGGAAATCTGGGAGTTGAAGTCCACCCATCTTAAAATTGCCAAGATTGAGAAACACTGGTTTAGAAGGGAAGTTTTTCTATTTTTGTGTATTTCCTAAATTAGCTTTTCCTTCAGTTATAGTGAATGTCAACTAGTATTTCTTGATAGCTGGGTTTCTACTTTGCAACCAATATCTTTGTCTTTTTTAATGGAGTGTTCTCCTACTTAGCTTTTCAGTGTTCTTCCAGCACTCTGCTTAAGTTCAAGAGCATATCCCCTAACAAAAGCTTTTGGTATAATTGCAACATTTTCTATTTACAGCTGAATTCAGGATTATTTCCTGCCAAAATACAGTAAATATCCACAATGATTTGCTGTAGTTGTTATAAACCCTTGTTCTCTCCAACAAAGTACATTTGTAATAATTGAATTTTAACACTTTACAGGTAGTCAGTCCTCAACTTATTACCATAATTGAGCCCAAAATTTTTGTTACTAAATGAAACATTTATGAAGTGAATTTTGCCTCATTTTGCAATTTTTCTTGCTGCAGTTGTTAAACGAAGCCACTGCACTTGTTAAATTAGTAACACGGTTGTTAAGTGAACCTGGCTTCCCCATTGACTTCGCTTGTCAGAAAGTCACAAAAGGGGATCACATGATCCCCGGACACAGCAGCTGCCATAAATGCAAGTCAGTTGCCAAGCATCTGAATTTTGATCATGTAACCATGGGAATGATGCAATGCTAAGTGAGAAAGATGGTCATAAGTCATTTTTTTCAGTGATGTTGTAAATTTGAATGGTCACTAAATGAATTGTTGTAAGCCAAGGACTACCTGTAGTTCTATTCCATGTTGGATAATGAAATAGTATTGAAAATTTAGCCATAAACAGAAACTTAAAGCCCTCCATTTTTTATAAGATTCGTAACCATGAATTAATCAATGAAAACTCATTTACCTTAAGGATATTTACAAAATAAGCCACTTCACTTCCTACCACACGGATGTTGTTAGCTGCCTGGGTATATGCACATCTGGAACCTTTGACCCAATCTATGCAAATGCAGTTCACATCTTCCACTTGAAGCATTCTCTGCAAACAGACACACGAATAAAATTGAGGGAAATAATGGGGCCACCACACACCCTGAATTCTCTTTAGGTCCTATAAATAGCTTTTCTAAAGATTTTCCCTTCCAGATATTCGATGTCAGTAGATATACTACTAATATGCAAGATAAAATTGCCACTTTAAGTGGCAAACAGAAAAGGGAAAGAAGACTGGACTTGGCCCTAACCTGTCACTATGAGATCCTCTGCTCCTTCCATGTTTTTCATGCCTCCTTTTTATCCCATCTATACCGAGTTTTTCTTACTGTTGCTTGGACATCTCTCTAAAGACTGGCAGGGAAGAGGGGAATTTTGACAAGAACTTGGAAGGAGTGATGCAGATATTAGCAATTGTGCATGTGAGTCAGATGCAGAAATGGAAGAGCAGCTTCAGGTGCAGTGTGCCGTGTAGCAGTACCAAAGGTGGTATTCAGCAGGTTCTGACCAGTTCTGGAGAACCAGTAGCGGAAATTTTGAGTAGTTTGGAGAACCGGCAAATACCACCTCTGACTGGAGATTTTACAGTATCCTTCCCCTGCCACGCCCACCAAGCCGGGCCCAGTGAACTGGTAGTAAAAATATTTGAATCCCACCACTGAGCTGTACCACATGAATCATACAGTGAGTCCTTTGGAGCTACTTATGGAAAGCTGGGAATGATAGTCTGATACATAATTGGCAGACATTGGCTTGGAAAAGAATGTGTTGGATGTGCTACTTTGCCATTTATTGTAGATTATAGATATTTGGGTTCTTTATGTCACTATTTTTTATGTTGTTTGGGGAAACTGGAGGGCAGACATGCTTCAATTAAAATGGCACCCTCCTATATCCCAAAAGCAAGTATCAAATATCAAATATATTTCGAAAGAAAAACCTATGTGTATAATTTGCTAAAACAGTTTAATGAGAATTGAGCATGCTAAGTGACAATGCCATATTAAAAGGATCTTGGAGAGAGGTTAAGGAAAAAGGATGGAGTAGAACTTGGCCACTTTAACACTTGTGTTAAAACTTGGCCACTTTAACACTTGTGGGCTTCAACTCCCAGAATTCCACAGTCAAAGTTCCACATTCGGAATACAGTATCCTGAGAAATATTATGGCCGGCTTCTTGGAACTCTGAACAGAAACATTTTATATTGCAAAATTTGGTGAGATCCTCTTGTCATATTGCATAAGGAAGCCAAGCCACATGTTGGAGTTTCTCTAACAGAAATCTCTAGCTCTTTGTGTGAATATTATGTGAATATTATTTTAAGTTTTATGAATTAAAGGATGAGGGCAACACTATGATTTAATGGATCTTGGCTGCACTGACTTTTAAACCTTCCAGTTTGATCACTGGGGCAAACCAATTCTGAAATTCACTCTTAACTGTGTGTTCTTAGAGATGGTCCTCATTTAACACCACTTGTTCAGTGACCATTTGAATTTGCAACTCATGGAACTGCCATTGCTAAACATTTTTTTTTAATGACTGCATTGCTTAACAATGGAGTTTCAGATCTCAGTGACATAGCTAAATGAGGTCTGCCTGTAGTTTCCTTTTTTTAATTGTTCCAGCAGGCACAGCTAGTTACCTCTCTGGGTATTAAGAGATTTCAAAACAAAGGCATAATATAAATGTTTTAGTTTGCTGTACCTTGCACATATCTGATAACCATCTTTCTTCCCCCTGATCTATGAATCCATGGGTGATGAAGCGAGTTATTTTGCTGGCATTGAAGTTGGAGTAGTCAATTGTTTCTGGATGAATTGCAGTGATTTCCTGTAATAATATAAAAATCTACATAAATATTAGGTAAGAATGACAGAGAGAGAGAGAGAGAGAGAGTCAGACAGACCTTTTTTTTCGCTACTCTTAAGCATTGTCATAACTGAAACAATTTTACTTCACTCATGAGCACCTTGGGAATATTGATATTTCATGTATTAGATAGTTAAGTATGGATGGAGGTTTTTGGGTCCGTTATTAATATTACCCACCTAATCTTTTTATAACCAAAGTATTGCAAATATAAATGCTGTAAATTATTTTTCAATTTTCTGTAGCACTAATATATTTTCTTTTTCTCAGTGCTACATAAGAGTTATTGTCTACGGGAGTATTTTCTGATGTTTCAGACCATAATTGAATCCATTAATAAATATAATGAGAGTAATGTATTTATTTCCAATGCTGTTTCAATAACATTATCAACTACTATAAGTCATCTCATTTTTTTTTCTAGATGGTATTTAAATATATGGCTTTATTAAAATATCTACATTTTATAAAGGAGATGCAAAAAGAGTTAAATAATTTTGCTTACAGATATCCTCTAAATGGATTGGTTGTTTGAAACTCTAAGGCATGTACATAGTCACACTATTATTTATGCTATAGAGTCCTTTATGTACTCTGAGCTTGGTTGTTTGTATGCAAACATTTCTTTACCCAACTTGGGAACATAATCAATGCTAGTGAATGTGAGGTTTGCTTCTTGTTACTACACAATAGCTTGCCCTGCCAGGGCTGTAGTTTTCTCCTTGGTAGTTCCTTGATTAGACAATTGTATTGTTTTCTGATTATTGCTTATTATAATTAACAATTTATTATATTATTGGTTATGTTTCCCAAAAAACTAAAAATGAAAAAATGAAAAAAGCATATGAGCTCTTATCCAAGATAACCATCACTATAATTATATAAAGTGTTTAGGAGAACAAAATCTGAACTTCATTCTTTTTATGCACTTCACACTTTACTCATTGAATCAAATACATCACAAATCTCTCATCTGGAACAAGTATAATAAGTTATATTATTAAAGGCAACAAGGTAAAACAAATGTTAAGATTCAGTATATCAACTATTTAAAGGTATACTGGACATTGGCTGTACATTACTAAACCAAATACAACCAAGAAAATGATCAATAAACATTTATATTATATAGCTTTCCTTTTGAATACATATGATCAAGCTGTCTATTTAGCTGGGCCTTGCTAAAACATGGAGAGCACTTGCCAAGAGTTGAACATGACGGAATGGTTAAAACTACTATGACTTCTCTTGCTAAAGTATTATACCTACGAAGCTATAAAAATAAGAAGAAAAATCTATTTCTGAATGTTTTCTTTTTAATTTTGTGGTATAACACATATACTGACTCCTTTGTCTTGATATTGTAGATGTATATAATGATTTTTTTAATGTTTTCATCTCACTGAAATGTTGGAAATAAATTATGTAAAGTGGCTTGGGATTCTGTCCATCTATAATGTCCATCAGCACAACAATGCTCCAAAGATTGAACAGATTGGAACCAAATTTAGTATTTATTTAGTTCATTTATCCATTAAATTTCTATGCCACCCATATCCCCTACAAGGAGACTCTGTATGGATGAAGTAGCTGGCAAAAACAAGATCGAATATGGAAAAGGACTGAGTCTGACTGGGGATCGTAGAGAAAATCCTAGAAAACGTTATCCCAGAGCATTCCCATGGCAGAAATAGTTGGGCAGCGGCTTCTCTACTCAACAACCTGCATTCCTCTATACTCTTGAATATATGATTCATAGCAGAGTATATGTAGTCTGCCCTGTGGTTCTCATTGCTCACATGCATGAACACAAATAGATACAACCTGAGAGAAAAGCAGGAAAACATTCATACATAACACTCTACTTTGTTACAAGAAAAAAAAGGAAAAATTGTATAACTACTGCTGAAATAGTTCGGGAATAATTCTAGAAGTCATGTAGTTGTATCTCAAAACCAGTGGTAGATGAGTGTCTTTCAGAAAGCCAATAGAAAAGAGACAACTTCAGGGAACAAGTCATTCCACAGTGAGGGGGTACCACCTGAAAGGCCAAATGCCTCAGGCCCTTTCCCCTTGACTTTTGTGCAAGAGGAATTATCAGGCTACCTTTTGGACCTGCATAGATTGGATGTGCAGATCTACCTGGGTCATCTATGGAAGCTCAATCCATAAAGAGTTTTATAAATAATAATCAATGTCTTGCTTTGAAGTCAGAAACACATTGGTAATTAATACAGCTGTACTAAAATTGACCTTATCGTACTCTTTAGATATTTGAGCAGCAAAAGAAAGACAACATCTGCAATTCTAGATTAGTTGAAACTTCTGTATTGCTTCAAAGGAAGCCCCATGTAGAGCAAACAGCAGAGGTTAGGCAGATGTGACTATATTTTTGAAAGTGTACATAGAACCCATCATTATTTGAAGAACTATAGACTTAGCAAGCATGGGAAGACAACAAAAAACATACTCTTTAAGTGGAAACACAATGTAACCCAGATGTACATGTCTGAATTGCCAATATGTGTTCATTTTCTGTTTATAAACTATATAGTAAAAAGAATATGGTATATAATGGATATACATTTATGCTTTTAAGACAGAAGTTTCTTTCCCCCTTTTAAGAAGTTATATTCAAATATTCATTGTTTATGCTGTCATTCCTTTTTTTCCCAATGTTTTAAAATTTAACTGAGGGAGGGTAGATCTCACCTGAAAATCGTCAAGGTTCTTTTTAGTATACAGAAGAAAGCGTGTATTTATTTCTTGAGGCGACCAAGGGAGTCGTGCAATGGGCCGTTCCACTGTTCCAGCCCATGGGATGTCATCTGTAAAGCAGCCCAGGCGGACGTAGCAAACTTCTTTGCCTGTTGTATATGTGTCAGATAATTAAGGCATCAGTGACTGAAGCAAAAGCTCATATTTTACCTTCTGTAGCATATTTTCTCTGGTAATGATGTCAGCAGGGTATCCATTCCTTTATCAAACTACATAGTCATTCATTTTCTCCATGTTTTCTTTGTCATTTGGGAACTCTTCTGAAGTCAATATGGTTTAATCTAACCGTGAGTCAAAAGACTTCTGAAAGCAATTTGCAAACTGTATGGGAAGGAATTAGGTCCTCAGCTATCTACATCACTCTGATACATGGATTAATTTCTGCTGCATGAAAATCAGTTTTATTTGCAAGTAATAATGTTGTTTGTAATCCCTTTAGGCTAGGTTTTCTCTGTTTCCCCTGTCTGTTGGTAAGAAAGTAGTATGGATAAGCAATTCTGGAAGTGCATAAATGCACAAACCCTGCAAAAGGACTGGAATTCTAATAACATTTCTACTTAGGAGTATAGGAAAGGAAATTTGGAATCCCAAGACCATTCAGCTTAACATTTAATGGTTCACAATACAATTCCCTGGTACTAACACTTCAGCTGATACAAAACACGAATAAACCAACAGCAATTTCGAGTTGTTACATAAAACAATCAGATCTTACCTCTAACTGCCAGGAACAGTAAAAGCAGAGTGGTCCAAAAGGCAAACATCTAAAATATTTTTTAAAACAAAAAGAAAGAAAATAGATGAATGGATGTTAAGAATAATTTATATTAATTTTTAACTTACATCGAAGGTAGTTATAGCAAATCTAGCAACTGAAGAATTTTACTTGATGAAATAAGATGTGACTTACGGCTTAGCCTTTGCTTGAATTCTAGACAAATCTTAAGCTAAACATGCATGGCCCTTTTATAAAGTGCAACACCCTTGAGGGTTATTCATGAAAGTAAACAGGTATGTTTCAGATTAAGGTTATCATAAATACACAAAGCTTACGATCATATAGTGAAAATGGAAACTAGGTGAACTAATCGAAGTATTTTTTTGATGTTACTTCTAGAACAAATGCTTAGTTAAGGTTATTCTTAAAGTCTTATTTCCCTATATAATAATTTTAAAGGCAATAAAATTCTTTACATTACGTTACTTAATCACTAGGTACTAAATAATATGTATATGAAAAGGGAGGAAAAGAATCCAAACATCCTTTAATAACTCTAATATACATTTCATAATCTAAACAGGAATATAGCTGAAATATTTTATTGGATCTCAACACTTGCTGGTTCTTACTTTCTCATTGAAGGTTGTAAAATTTGAGTATAAGTATAAACTGAATATATTATTTAATGCAATGTTTCTTAACCTCAGCAAATTTAAGATGACTTTAGTTCCCAAAATTCAGCCTGACTGACTTGAGGTCCACCCATCTTGGAATGGGATGGGACAACTCACCCTGGCCATCTTTCCACAGCCAAATCTCTGTGGGAAAACTCACCGCATCCAACTTGCCACAGGACAACCTGCCGTGAGATAATTCAAGAGAGGGACAAGTAGAATTGCAGTTCACCTCACCTTCAAGAACATCTAACTTGAGAATGTTCAATCCTAAAGCAAGGCCTGCTGCAATTCACTTGTCCCTCTCTTGAGTTATCCTGAGTTGAATTGTTTCACAGTGAGTTGGCCAGAGCAAATTGGCCAGGGCGAGTTGGCTAGGCTGAGGCCACAGCGAGTTGTCTTAGACCAGGGGTGTCATATTTGATTTCATTGAGGGCTGCATCAGGGTTGTGTTTGATCTCAGGGGACCGGATGGGCATGGCTAGGGTGGGCATGGCCAGCTCAACATCACTCATATCAGGGGCACCTATGATGGCCCGGGTGGGGCAGGGGGGATCCATTGTCTCCAGCAGAACAAGGCAATACCAGGTAGAGCTCCGTTTTCAACTGCACCGGCCTCCTGCAGTCCTCTGCCAGTGAGTACAGAACTCCATTTTTGCTGGCAGAGGTACCATAGGCCAGTCCTTTGCTGTTTCTAGGGCAACCCCACAGGCCAGATTTAAACAGCCCACAGGCTGGATCCAGCATACAGTCCTTGAGTTTGACACCCCTGTCTTAGACCCTCTTGAAGTTGCTCAGGTTGGGAAACACTGAATTAATGTATGTTGCTGTTGTTACATTGCTCTGTTAAGATGTTCCTCCAATTGACAGACAACAAGCAACTTCATTTTTACCACGAGAAACCATACTTTGCAACTTCCCTATCCACTTGGAGGAAGAAATAGATTTCAGGCAGGAAATCTTATTACTGTCATTTTCCAGGTTAGTTTCCATTGCACTCTGGCACAACTATCATTCTATTAAATGTTAAGGCTGTACCCAGGAGCCTAAATGGACAAGGAGATACATGTGGGAGAGTGGCTAAGAATAGTAACTAATCCAGCCACACTTGAGGCTGAGGTGTTAATTAAAGTGAAATGTATTGCTAGATTCAAACTAATACCACCCATAACTGTTGTTATTATAGTGGCCTAATTCTAGCGTGAATGCTTAAGTGTAAGCCTAACTAAACAAACCAGTCAAGCCCTCCTTTTAAAATGTTAGTTAGTCTTATTTTCACTTTCCAGGAAGAAAAAGGGGCAGAGTGTAACAGAATGGAGGGTTAGAAAGCCAAAAGGCTCACAGTTTCTTCCTAAACCAATCTAGCAAGCTTTGGAATAGTATTTAGAACAGGGCTGCCTTGCTAATAAAGCTGATTTTGTTCCTTGTCCAGGCAGTCTCTCCTTCCAGCAGCTTCACTTGAAATCTTTGTCAAACAACTGTGGATTTTCTTCAATCCTCTTACCGGGCTGCAGCTGTCAACCTTCTTGGTGTCCTCAGCTCTTTCAGTTGCTCTTTTCACCAACTGAAGACCAGTGTCTTTCAAACTTGGCAACTTGAAGATGTGTGAGTCTCAGCTGTGACCTGAAAGAATTCCCCTCTTGACTGCAGCCTAACTATTCTCATTCTTATATACTCAGATTATATGAGCCAGATTGCAGGAATTCCTAGGACCTTTTTTTAAATAAATGTCTCAGTGGCTTTGGCCTTTCACCTATTGGGAAGAAAACATTTGACCTTGACATTTAGGATGCTGTAAATAACTTTTTTTTTCTTATCACAGCAATTCATTCTGCCACACTAAGAAGAATCATGGGCCTCTCCTGGAAAAAAAAAATCCGAGCCTTAATTGCTCCAAAGCCATTTTTATTGACAGTGTGACTTCTTGCTCTTCTGACCCATAGCTACCTTTGGCATGTGCTCACAGCATAATATGTGGCATTTCAAGTTCTGCTGACTTTTCCACAATGAAAATGCTGCATTGGGCTCATTAAAAAATGCTCTAAATACAGGCCTTGATGTGCTGTATTACTGAGGTGTGCCCAATAAAAAGCAATTGTATGAAAAGAATGTTGGCACTATGACCCCTCAGAAATGAAGAAATATAGATCCATGTTTGATATGGTAAAAAACCTATAGGTTATTTATTTATTTATTTGTATTCTGTCTTTTATTATCTAATAATTATTTTATTACTATAACTCTCCAGCTGTGATAATCCTCTCCTAAAGTTATCGGATAAGCCGAACATATAATTTTAGGTTCTAAAGAAGGTGTAGACAAGTTAGAAATATGAATTATGTCATGAACCAAACTTCATCCATTATGTACTTGGTTATGAAAGTGTGAAAGGGAAAAACTTGTACTGAGACATGACACCCATACCTTTCTTCAGTCTGTGTTGTGGTGAGGGTCGGGTCCCCATGGATATAACTGAGAATAGTTATTTTAAAAGCAATATTAGTGACAATCCTGTGGATGTTTACTTGCACATGCATCCTGTTAAACTTTGCAAAAAATTGAGTAAAATTGGATATGTCTGATGTAATATTGTCTATGCAATATAAGAGGCAGTATACAAACAAAAGGCCTACTCATAAACTAGTAAAATGTTAACTTTGGAATAAACGGGTCAATACACATCAAAGGATTCTTTCTTTAAAGGCTTTTATTTCACCAGTGAGGATTAGTAAAACTTCATACAACAAAGGCAATATGCTATAACTATATTTCTCTGCACATTTTAGTTCTTTCATTCTTCTGTGTGTGAAAACACAAAAGGGCATCACCTGTGTACACAAAAATGAAGGTGCCAAGTTGTCTGAAAGTCATTAGCAGATTTTGGAGATCATTCAGGGTCTGTGTCATCTGCTTGATGACAGATGGTTCTAAATGCCAACACCAGGGAAAATCCTGGGGTATGTGTGGAAATAATCAAGCAGTGGATTTGCAAGCACTTATAAATGATTACCTGAAACCAGAATGGTTCTGCTAAAAAAAAAAAAAAGAACAGATTGTGCCAGACAAACATTATTGTTTTCTTTGATAGTGTGAATAGGTTAGTGGACCAACAGAAGGCTGCAGATGAAGTATACTTAGATTTCATTAGGTTGGTCATAAACTCTTTTTTGAAAAACTGAAAAATTTGGAATTGATGGTCCACTATTATATGGGTTCATGAGTGGCTTGATAATCATAGTGCTTGCATGGTACTTTAAGGATCTACCCTGTTTCTCCAACAATACGGCCTCCCCCAATAGGAAGTCCCAGCATGTTTTATAGGCATGAAATGAAATTAAGCCTCTCCCCCCAAATTAAGGCCTATAATAAAACATGCAAAATGGGGGGAATGGTGGGGGGGCTTGCCATTAGGAAGTACTTTTGTTGCACACCTGGATATGGTGCTGCCTAGTTGACCCCAATACGAAGTGCTCCACCAACGCTGAGGTCAACATCCAAGCCATTGCCGCCCATCTGAAGATGCAAGGGGGGGGGGGGGGAATTAAGTCACCCCCGAAAAGATGGCCTAGCCA